ATCGTGTTGTTTTTGTAAAATTATCCAAAAATTTTATTGTAAAACTTTTTTTGTATAGAATAATAAAGCACATTTAAAAGCATCAAATTTTGTTAAATTTTTTAAAACATGTAAAAAATTTAACTATTAACAACATAAATTCATGTCGGTAAATAATTTAGATATACCGTAGTACAGTAGTTTTATGTGTTTTTTAAAAATATTTAAATATTATAATTTAATGCTTAAATTTAATGCTAGAAATACATTATCAAAAAATTTATATTAACCGCATTAATAATAAACATAAGTGTGTAATTAATTGCTATGAATTACTCGAATAGAAAATTAATTTGCAGTTTTAATTTAAAATTTCGCAAAAGGTATTCATTTTTTAATTAATTAATGGCAAAACACATTTGACTTCTTAAAAATGGGTTCATTAAGTTTATGCTTTATTTGTGGCCTTTTTATTGTCTCCATTGGTTTAAGTTATCAATATATGGATTACGACTACGAAGGGGGACATCACTCCCATTACGGACATCCCGCGTATGGTCCTTATGGCCATCCACATCATGGACATCATGGCTACGGACACCCCGGTCATGGTCATCATGGCCACCATAGTCATCATGGCCACCATGGGCATTATGGTCACCATGGTCACCATGGCCATCACGGACATCACGGGTACGGACATCCAGGTCACGGCTATGGACATCGCGTTGCAAGCTATTCAAATACACAGATACTTCCTTTGGACGAATGGATTGGAATCGCGATCTTCAAGAATAAATCGGCTGACGCTGACTATCCTTCCACTTAAGCTAATTTTATGTAAAATATTATTTTATTTTATTCATACAAATAATTTGTAATAAATAAGATATTTTATTTTACATAAAAATAAACAATTTAATAAATAAAGTGTTTTTTAAGACTCAAATAAAATTTTTATAAAATGACTTAAAATAAATAAGTTATTTACAATTTGTTTAAATAAATTTAGGTCCGGTTTTGCAAAGTCTACGCCAAATAGTGTTAATAAATAATTATTTTTGTTATACAATTGAGATGAAGACGAATGACTATTTGTTGTCAATGTTTTGACAAACTTTATGAGATTGTTTTCCGAAAACGTTTCATTAGATAAATATCTGTTTTGTTTAATATCAACGGCCGTTACTATAGGAAGAGAACCCATAATTTGTTTCATTGATTTAAACCCAAAGTCTTGAATTAGTTGTGAACTGAAAGTCTTTGCATCCGATATAAGAAATCTGAAATTCTTGTGATTTTTGGCCACATTTAACACTTTATTTCGTAATTCAATCACCGGTTGATTATTACTCTTGGAATCAATTACTGAATAAATATCAATAACTGGTGTCTATAGTAAATTGAAAATACTTTTATCAACAGATGTTTTCATGAAACAAAACTTTCAAATCTAAACCTTAATATAATTGATGTGTGAATGAGTCCGAAGACCAACCAATCCGTAATAATTATGGCGAACAAAGTCTTCAATTTGACCGAAAGAATGGACCACAAGATTGGGCTCAAACTTATTGGACATATATTTTGGTCGAATGAGAAGAATGAGCGGAAGTGACATATCTTTTAAGCCATTTATGAGCTGAAAGTTGAAAACATTTGGCATAATATCGACATAAATGTGTCGGAATCTCATTGAATCTCCCAATTTATTTGATGCCATAAAATACTGCCTTTGAGTGCATTTTGACAGCTCTTTGCTCTCAAATATTGCCAAAACTATTACTTCATTGCAATTATTTATTTCGTCCGTCAATTCATTCAGACTATTGTATTGTATTGAATGTGAATTTATATTATTCTTAATGCATTCATTGATGCCCTTCGTGTCCATTAGTCGCTCGCATTCCCCATGTATTTGACCGCATGTTTGCCACAAATTAAAAAATTATCGATTAGACTATCAGTTAATACATGTTGTAAATTATTAATATAATGTATTTGTTTGTAAACATTTTAAATTAAATATTAATGAATAATACAAAAGATCAATAAAATATTACAAATAACAGATAAAAGCAAAGTCTATAATTGTTATAATAAATTATAAACAATTAAATAGAGTCACGCAATAAGAAAGTCTACAAATAGTAATTTCCTGAATTACCATTGAGTGCATTTGAATTATAAGTTATAATTTATAAAGTAATGTACATTTGATCCTATTATAACGTTTGGAAAGTAGATTTAATGAGTGATAATTCATTGCTATATAAATCATATAACTTAAAAGATAAATTATATAATAAAAATACATAAAATACCTTTAAAAACCTTCAAACTTGGTAATCTACTATTCATGCAAATATCTGTGCCATAAATTGCTCGGCAATTATACTACAAAATTAAAAATTGACAATTTTATTAATACAAAAATTAAAGATAATAAAAATAATAATAATAAAAGTTAAATATAATTATAATAATTATAATATGAGAGAATATTCTGTGATACCTTTGCGAAACGAGTGCAGAGAATATTATGCGAGATATCGTTGTTATAATCAATAAAATTTTGAGACGACTTTTCAAACAAATCCAATATTTTGTCGTTTTTGTTATTAACGAAGGAATCGTAAAATAACACAAATATATTATCATAACTATTAAGCGTTGAATTGTAATCATTTGGTGTCAAATCAATAATATTTTTGCATTGAATGCAACAAATTAATAGACAACACAAATATAGTTTAGAAATCATTATTTTTATTACTAATTATTTATAAGATTTAAAAAATTCTCGTATAAATTATAGTAACAACAAAATTATAATATTGTATTTGAGTGTAAATTCACAATAAGTACACAAATCCACTGATACTTAGCACATGTTTAAATAATAAAACAAATCAATTTAATTAATAATTTTATATATGTATTTGTTGTAAATTTTGTAAAACTAAATTATTTTATAGTAACTATTAAAACAAATACGACATAAAACACCGAAACACAAATTATATACGAGTTTAACATTTATTAAACAATCATTTTTATAAATAACATTTCATTTATAAAACATCGATGTTTCAAAAATGTCATTTTTGAATAGAAATACTCTGGTTTTTATAATATCTTGTTTATATTTAATATTTATAATATCAATTAATTCATTGTTAAATATATATGTTTCAGAAAACTTTTAACATAAATATAGAGTATTTATAGTTATAACTGTCATTCAAACAGGATTTTAATAAAACTGACATATTTTTGTAATAATTAATTAAATAAAGAACACTTTTGTAGAGATCCTAGATGGTNGACAGGTTGACATAAATATTATCAGTTAGACTTAAGTTGCCGGATACATTGGCTACTATCAATTAAACACATTTAATTATTTATATTTAGTTTTATTACAAAAGTAATGACAAATGAGAATAATGTGTATTTTGTTGTTCATCAGTGTTGTCATGAATTGAGTGGTTTTGAGATTTATATTACAGAATATTTATAATAATAATCATAAAAATATTCATTGTTTGCTTTTGAAAAATTTATCCCTAAATAAATGGCATAAAGTTTAGGTGCGATTCGGAGGCACTTATGCTTTTCGGTAAACAATTCATTCAAATAATACTTATTTTAAAATAAAGTACAAAAAGAGAAGTTATTAATAATACATTATTATACTTAATAATAATATATAAATTGGATAATCAATATAAATTTGTGCCAAATTTATGCTTAGCTTTGTGTTACAGCGCCGGGTATTTTGCCCAGAAGTCCGGTCACATTAATTCCGGTCAGCGCCTGAATAGTGGGCGGGAGTTGTGACACGAGTGACACGAGAGCGTCGGTCGCCCCTCCGCTATCGTTGCCAATGAGGACAATGCTATCAGTTTTGGCCAACGGAGCCGCCACTTCGGCCGCGATCTTCGGCAGTGCTTCCAGAGTGAGGGCCAGAATAGCCGCGTCTTCGTATTGTTTATACGCCGCCGCTTTCATCCGCATCCGTTCCGCCTCTGCCTTTCCCACCGCTTCGATGCCGTAAGCCTTCAATCAAATGTACAAAAAATCAATTTTCTGTATAACTTTTATAATATTTTTGGCATATTTATGTTCAACAGTTAATATATACTGTATGTGAACCACCAGTTGCTGTGCGCATACCTGTGCTGCGCCAATCAATTTGATACGTTGAGCGCCGGCCTGAGCGACGGCCACCGTTTTGGTTCGCTCGCCGCCGGCGATCATCTCCACCCGATAGGCCTCGGCTTCTGCCGGGAGTTTCACTTTAGACATGAGTTCCTTCTCCTTCCTTAAGATCTCCTTTTCCTGAATGTCGATCTCTTTCCTCCTTTCGACCACTTCTATCTCCATCTCTTCATTTCGTATCAATTGTTGCAGTTTTGCGCACTGCAGCTCATAAGCCAACTGTGCCTCAGCTTTCTTTGTGTTGACCTGAATATTGTTATTTCACCATAAAGTTAGATATTCTTTCATAAATTATAGCTTTTAGCTCTACTTAAGTGCACAACAAATAATTTATTTCTTTATAAAGTAATAGATTCCTAAACGAGTGTATAATTTGTACGACGAAAATATCAATTTATAAGAAATATTGACAAAAGCGAGAGAAATAAGTGTCGCATAAATATGTCAAATGTTAGACTATATACGGAGTGTGAGACACAATATTTCATTAGTGAAGAGCAATGCTATAGTAAACTAATTAAATATAATTTGAATTTTATATTTCCTTTTTATGTATTTATGGCTAAAAATACTTTCTATTATTTTCCGATATTAACAAAAGAGATCAACGATTACAACAACACAACTAAAAGTTTCCTAAAATAACATTCAAATAGATATTTACAAACGAGAGTGAAATCTCGTGGGCGAAGGCATACCTCTCCATCATATTTGGCCTTTTCTAACGAGAAGAGTCTGTGCGCGTCCTCTATCTTAGTGTCGGCACTGTATTTGGTTTCCATTGACTCCCGATTACAGTGAGCCTCCCGTATGCCGGCGTCCCTCTCGGCCAACGCCACCCCCGTCTGGGCG